CAACGCCAACCCTCGGTCGCAAGGGAACATGCGCCCCAACTTCGTGGGGCGGGAAAGCACGGTGAAAGTCCGCACCACACCTTCGAACTCGCTCTTGAAGAGGCCCTCAGATCCAGGCAAAAACACAATCACAGCTTAAACAGCACTTTTGCGCATGAAAATGTCTGCCACGGCCTGTGTTGTTTTAAATATATTTGACGAAGCAACCAAGGCGCAGCACCTTGGTACTTAAAGTCCAGGTTCCACAGCGTGCAGCAAAGCCCCGGAGCTGGATAGTCCAAGACTCTCCATCTTGGACTGCACCCCACATGCCGCACGAGCCAAAGACGTACTTCTTGCTCCTAAGAGTAAAAACAAAAAAGGCAAAGCAAGACACAACCACAATGCATGCGTTAAACCACATTAAATTTGAAAAGAAAACAAAGCAAAAATCCTGAGCAATGATAAGACACTTTCGGGTGCGGCGAAGGAATCCCACTGCAGAGGCGGAAAAGAAGATATATTCGTGCATGCGATGTGAGTCCATGTGCTGGTACTTGGCCACTACAATGTCTGACAAATCTCCGCAGTCCTACACGTAGCACTGCAGCCATGCGTTGTCATCCATGGGCACGGAGGTCATGGCTCTATAGGGAATGTCAGTGAGCGAGTCTCGGGCCAAAAAAACTTACAGTTGTTTACACTCATTGTATTGCCTCACTCATTTCCACATAGCGAAAACAAATTCAACAATGCAGCTGCAGCATTGGGGGTGCACCTGAGTCCTATATATAGAAGCCAATGACATGTAGTTCACCTGGCAAGACCGAGGAGATTCATGATTAAGACTGGTTGTATTTAAACAATGCCTAATATATATACGGAGCATGCGACCGAGGTCAATGCCACGGAGCATGCGAGCGAGGCCCGACAATGCCACAAACGCGAGCACAATGGAAGTCGTTGGTGCAAAGATCCAAAAGCACAGCTGGTTTGGTCCAAAGGGATCGTGGCGATGTCCTTCGCCTGCAATCGTGGCGATGTCATGCAATCCAAAAGCTTCGGCTGCAATCGTGCACGATGTCATGCCATGGAGCTCCCTCATGCATCTCCTCGAGCAGCGTCCATGGGACTGCAGGGGAAACCAGTTCCAATTGGAATCCTCCAAAGCCATTTAGGTATAGAGCTTTCTGGTGGAGGCAAAGCCAACCCTCGGTCAAAATGAACAGTGTCTGTGTTGATACCACATGTGACAACAAATTGCACATGTTGCCTCGCGAGCCATGCCCGCAAAGGACGTGCCGGCGAGCATTGCCACGCCAGCACAATGCTATTTATAAGTCACCAAAAATTTCAAATCGAAGCCATCATGGACGTGTATATATTCACAAAGCGTGAAACAAAAGAACAGAAATCCTCGGTGCACCCCTGCCTGCAGGGCGATCGCATGAACTGACCTGTGGGCAGAAAAGGAAACTGAGCGCAAAGGTGCCAGATCCAAGCAGCATGCAGGCAAGGCATGCACATTCTTTTGGCACAGCGCAAAATGCGAGCTCTGTTCAAAAATCGTGGCTCACCAAAAGCTATATATGAAGCCATGCCTTTCAAGACCTAGCTCCATGCAGTCTTGAGGTTGAGGCATCTACCCGTCCGCCGACTAAGCCTTCATGACACAGCTGCATCCTCAGCATGCACCACCAAAATTGGCAACTCATGGCACGGTACCTCCTCGTTGGGCTGACCATGAGCATGAGAAGCAGGTGCGGAAGCTGTGCGCATAGACGAAGCAGCCGACGGCATTGCGGGCATGTCTTCACCTTCATCACCTTCCAAGTTCTGAGCCCATGGGCTGCCAGGTGACACCGTTGGAGTCAAATCCATCTTGACGCGGCGCTGGTGGTATATGCTCTTCCAGCGCAAGTGCTCACGAGTCGCAGGAGACGCATCTCCCATCTCCTCAGCGCTCCTTTTGGCACCATGGCGAATAACATCATCCATGATGCGCCACTCAGGTACATCTGGAAGCAAAACCTGCTTCAGCTCACAAAGCTGCTTGGCTTCTGAAGCTTGACCAGTTCCAGTTGGCACACTGACAAGCTGGACTTGGCTTCTATCAGGGTCACGAAGCTGTCCAGCAAGAGGTTGTAACATGCACCTGCTTGCCCAGCGTCAAGGGGGCGAATGGCATTGCGCTCTTCGATCGCATTCCTGCAGATGTCGGCTTTCTCCATTGCGTGCTCACAGGAAATATATAAGGCTTTTACTGCTTTTGAGCCAACAGCTTTGTCTCGAAGGGCTTCAAACCGTGAGTCCACCAAAACGGCCTGTCTCCATTGCTCCAAGTCCAAAGGTCTCTTTCTTGGCCGTGGGTATGTGCTCTTCAGCCCTGCAGCTATTGCATGGGCTATCTTGCCATGCGTATACAAACCTTTTTCCGATACGAAGGAAACAAAAACAACAACATATCTATATAGGTATATATAGCTATATGGGAAACATGCATGCATGAAGCCACACACGGTCACTTTCCAGTATCGAAAAAACTGGCTGGAGCCACAAGAATGTGGTCCTTTTCGAGCATCTTGTACACCAATGCTCCCCGAATGCGAGAAGTCTCTCTACAAGGGCATCTTGATCCATCAAAGGCCGAAATCGATTCGTGGAAACCTTCGCAAACATTCGAACATAAGTGAAACCCTGTTCCAAATATCGGAGATGAAAATGGACCCGTGCAATGGCAGGAGGGTCTGCCAAAGCAACGATGTCGTCGCTTTGGCAACGAGGCGCAATTCTTGAAACCAAAAGCGGCGACACTAGAAATGGAATGCCGAAGAGAATGCGAAATGAACTGCTCAGTGTTTCACTTGCGGGCTTGAAATCATTCTGCTCCACCACATTCAAATCATGAAAGTGCGTCAGCAGCACCTCTCTCAGAACAGAGCGCTCCATGCTTTGATGTCCTGAATGCTGCTGATCAGCCCACCTGCAGACATTGCTTCAGACAAAACAAAAGGCAACATGATTCATTATGCAAATCCAAACTGATGTCCTGGACTACATGATGGAATCTTTGGAGATGCAATGCTTGAAAGCAAAGTGGCTTCTTCGCAACATCTGGTTTGGATGAACTAAGCCTCTTCATAGAACCCTTGGAAGATGGGCCATTCAACAGCTTGGCAAGATCCATGGCTCGTAGACTACAAAGAAAGTTGACAATATGTTTGAATTTTGGATCTAGTTGAAAAAATGAACATCGGGTTGCATTACAATTTGTACTTTAGTCATCATACCAATAGTTTTTGTGCACATGAAAATGTAGACATGTCCACAATGTCGGTGTATGTTATCTCCAATAAATGTTTGGAACATTAGGCCTTGCCACTGCCTGGGAAAAAAACGCTGCAGTGAACCCCTCCAACTCGGTTTTCTGGAAGCATCCAACATGATCATGGCTATGACTGAAACTGATCTTGGAAACATAACCCCTGCTGGATCATCTCTGGGTGAAAGACGGGTGCCAGACATCTGCGCTCCCGGTGAGGCCTGTCAGAAACAGTGGTGAGCTCACAGGGCAGAGGCGGTTTGATGGTGGCAGGCCCAATTTTTTAAGACCACATGACATTTGAAATCTGAGAGAAAGCTCTCAAGGATCTCAAGGATTTTCTGTGGAAGTTTCTTGAATTTAGGTGTCCAAAACTGCCTTGCCTTCCATGAACTGGGCTGGCACTGCGATGTAGACCATGTCCTGCGACACGTAGGAACATACCAAGTTTCACAACCTGTGATATCTCCAGAATTGGGTTTGCATTCCATTGGGTTTGATTAAAAAACACTCTGTTGGCATTTCAGGAAAATCCCCCACCCTTCCATTTGATTTCAGAAAAGCATTCGGCTGGCATCTTTCCAATTCTGGGTGCTGTCACACAGAAGCAGGTCCTGGGTAGTGAGTGGGTGGGCCCTCCAAGAACAAATGGCCTGAGAGTCACCGGAAACCACAAACTTGGTAGACCCGCAAATCCCAAATGCATAGGTTATACGATAAAAAAGATATAAGTAAAATCTACAAGTATATATATACATAGCTTGAAATATGCCACAAAATTGTGTATGTATATATATATATATGTGCATGTGTGATATATATATATATATGATATGTGTTAATGTGTATTTATATATATCAATAAATTTATGATATATGCACATCTCTGTGCGAGTTTACAAATGCCAAAGATGCCAGGGAAACACACAGTGAATAGATTGATATATACATATATATATAAGTATGATAGTATTCATATGATAGATGATTCTCCATTTGGCTCTCCACTGAACCCTTTTTGCTCGGAAAACATACCCTGTCAAGGCTCCCACCATGGTTTTGGGGTGGACGGACAACCTGTACCTTTTTTTTGCCCCAATGGGCATATATCTGGGGTCAACACTGCCAGTGTTGTTGAATCTTCCAGCGCCTGATGCCCGTTTAAGCAAACCTGCTGCGCTGCAAAGGCGTATTGGGTCTATTGCTAAGGGTTAAGATATACGTTTAAAATAATTTCATGGTAATCATTGCTAAGCCATGGGTGTCCTTGCTCCTTTCGCATGTAATACATAAACAGGTTATTATATCATTACAATTACTATGATGTTGTTTGTGTGGCCTGTTTCCATTTTTCCTCAAAGACGCAGCACCAGGTTTTAGTGCTTCAGGTCTGGTGCTTTAAATCTGGCAGCTAGCAAGCTCTTGCTTCTTTCAATTGCCAGCTTTTCCTGATAGCTAGCTCAATCACAGTGGCTTGGTAGCCTTGGCCAGGCTCAGTTGCCACTAATCTGGGCTCAGTTGCCACTGAAATAACTTTTTAAGTTTTTTCCATATCTTCCATTGTTTCCCCCCGGGCACAGCCCATAGGGATCTTACATGATCTTACCACAAGCGGTGACGCCCGGTTGCCAACTGTTGTCAACAGCAAAGCAACGTGGACTGAACAAGTGTCAGCCCCCAAACTCCAAACCCCGAGATACAAGTAATTATAAATTCAGTAAAACATGCTCACTGTGCGCATCCAGATTCCTTCGCCTGATGAGCCACGGTTCTGCTTGATCACACGTGGTTGGAATGCCATGGTCTTCTTGAAGCCTGCCGCAAACTCCTCAGGGGAATAGTAGGCAAGAGTGTCTTCCAGGCCAATGTTCATGGTTGCCACCTTGCAAAGAGCATCCTTTGCTCCCATCTTCTCCATGACGTCGGGAGATGGCCAGACCTGGATACCCAGCTTGCGGATACCCCGCATGCCATCGTCGAACTTGTTCTGGTCACCGCCATCAGCCTTGATCTGGCCGGGGTTGCATCGAACGATGATGAAATCAAAGTTTTTACAAACCTCGAAGAACTTGTCATGCTCCTCGTGAACATAATGGATGAGCTGACAGCTCATGCCCGCATTAATCATGCCGTTGGCCATAGGGATCGTGTCATACCTGTGGCCATTGTTGCTGCTGCGTCGTCGTTTGTAAGTGGCTACGCATACGGTCTTAGACAAAGTGGTTCATACAAAGAACATTGAAATGCAAAAAAAAAATCGAGTGACTCATCCCAACTGATAATTTATCTGACGTTCTATTTGTCATATGTTCTGACATCTGATCTGGCATTCTATTCGGGGTTCTTTCCGGCATTTGATCTGGCATTCTACCTGACATATGTTCTGACAGTTTATCTGACATTCGTTCTGACATTCTATCTGGCATTCTACCTGACATAAATTCTGACACTGGCATTCTATCTGGCAGTCAATCTAACCTCCTATCGGTGATTTATACATATATATATTGACATTCTATCTGGCAGAATCTCTGACCTTCTATCTGTCATTTATTCTGACATGCTTTAGGGCATTTGATGTGGCATTCTATCTTACATATATGTTTGCGTTCTGTCCGGTATTCTAGCTGGCGTTCTATCTGCCATGCATTTTGGCGGCCAAACCCTCGCTTCCGCACTGGGCTTTTCACTCGCTTGCGCGCTATAACTTATACTCACTTGCGCACTCACTTCCCTAGTTCTCACTCACTTGCGCCCTTGGAGTGGTGGGATGGGGTGGGGGGAATGTTAACGTACCTTCACACGCGCACACAGGACGGTGACGTTCACTGACTTCGGGTAAGAGAGGATGGGGTAAGGTGGGGTGGGGTGGGAGAGTATTGGTTTCAAATCAACCCAGGTCGCCTGGAAAAATTACTTCCAGTAGCTGGAAATCAATGTTGATTTTAAGGGATATTATAGGCTCTTAACTTTCTCATGTAGCTTCCAACACACTCTTGATACATCTTGACGCTATGTTCTTGAATTTCTCATGTAGCTTCCAACACACTCTTGATGCACCTTGATGCTACGCTCCTGACTTTCTCATCAACATGCTCTTGATGCTACGCCCTGGGCTTTCTACAATGTCACTTTGAACAAGGTCTTGATGCATCTTGATGCTATTGGATTTCTCATGCAGCTTCCAACACACTCTTGATGCATCTTGGTGCTACGCTCCTGACTTTCTCATCAACACGCTCTTGATGCTACGCCCTTGGCTTTCTACAATGTCACTTTGAACAAGGTCTTGATGCATCTTGATGCTATGCTCTTAACTTTCTCATGAAGCTTCCAACACAATCTTGATGAATCTTGATGCTACGCTCCTGACTTTCTCATCAACACGCTCTTGATGCTACGCCCTTGGCTTTCTCCAATGTCACTTTGAACAAGGTCTTAATGCATCTTGATGCTATGCTCTTGAACTTTCTCATGTAGCTTCCAACACACTCTTGATGCGCTCCTGACTTTCTCATCAACACGCTCTTGATGCTACGCCCTTGGCTTTCTACAATGTCACTTTGAACAAGGTCTTGATGCATCTTGATGCTATGCTCTTAACTTTCTCATGTAGCTTCCAGCACACTCTTGATGCATCTTGATGCTACGCTCTTGACTTTCTCATCAGCACGCTCTTGATGCTACACCCTTGGCTTTCTACAATGTCACCTTGAACAAGGTCTTGATGCATCTTGATGCTATGCTCTTAACCTTCTCATGTAGCTTTCAGCACACTCTTGATGCATCTTGATGCTACGCTCCTGACTTTCTCATCAACACGCTCTTGCGGCTACACCCTTGGCTTTTTACAACGTCACTTTGAACAAGGTCTTGATGCATCTTGATGCTATGCTCTTGGATTTCTCATGTACTTTCCAACACACTCTTGATGCATCTTGATGCTACGCTCCTGACTTTCTCTCAACACGCTCTTGATGCTACGCCCTTGGCTTTCTACAATGTCACTTTGAACAAGGTCTTGATGCATCTTGATGCTATGCTCTTGGATTCTCATGATGCTTCCAACACACTCTTGATGCATCTTGATGCTACCCTCCTGACTTTCTCACCATCACGCTCTTGATGCTACGCCCTGGGCTTTCTACAATGTCGCCTTGAACAAGGTCTTGGTGCATCTCGGTGCTATGCTCTTAACTTTCTCATGTAGCTTCCAACACAACTCTTGATGCGCTCCTGACTTTCTCATCAACACGCTCTTGATGCTACGCCCTTGGCTTTCTCCAATGTCACTTTGAACAAGGTCTTAATGCATCTTGATGCTATGCTCTTGAACTTCTCATGTAACTTCCAACACACTCTTGATGCATCTTGATGCTACGCTCCTGACTTTCTCATCAACACGCTCTTGATGCTACGCCCTGGGCTTTCTACAATGTCACTTTGAACAAGGTCTTGATGCATCTTGATGCTATGCTCTTGGGTTTCTCATGTAGCTTCCAACACACTCTTGATGCATCTTGATGCGACGCTCCTGACTTTCTCATCAACACGTTCTTGATGCTACGCCCTTGGCTTTCTACAATGTCACTTTGAACATGGTCTTGATGCATCTTGATGCTATGCTCTTGGATTTCTCATGTAGCTTCCAACACAATCTTGGTGCATCTTGATGCTACGCTCCTGACTTTCTCTCAACACGCTCTTGATGCTACGCCCTGGGCTTTCTACAATGTCACTTTGAACAAGGTCTTGATGCATCTTGATGCTATGCTCTTGAATTTCTCATGTAGCTTCCAACACAATCTTGATGAATCTTGATGCTACGCTCCTGACTTTCTCATCAACAGGCTCTTGATGCTACGCCCTTGGCTTTCTACAATGTCACTCTGAACAAGGTCTTGATGCATCTTGTTGCTATGCTCTTAACTTTCTCATGTAGCTTCCAACTCAATCTTGATGCGTCTTGATGCTACGCTAATGACTTTCTCATCAACACGCTCTTGATGCTACGCCCTTGGCTTTCTCCAATGTCACTTTGAACAAGGTCTTCATGTATCTCGATGCTATGCTCTTAACTTTCTCATGTAACTTCCAGCACACTCTTGATGCACCTTGATGCTACGCTCCTGACTTTCTCATCAACACGCTCTTGATGCTATGACCTTGGCTTTCTGCAATGTCACTTTGAACATGGTCTTGATGCATCTTGATGCTATGCTCTTGAATTTCTCATGTAACTTCCAACACACTCTTGATGCATCTTGATGCTACGCTCCTGACTTTCTCATCAACACGCTCTTGATGCTACGCCCTTGGCTTTCTACAATGTCACCTTGAACAAGGTCTTGATGCATCTTGATGCTATGCTCTTGAATTTCTCATGTAGCTTCCCACACGCTCTTGATGCTACGCCCTTGGCTTTCTACAATGTCACTTTGAACAAGGTCTTGATGCATCTTGATGCTATGCTCTCGGCTTTCTCATGTAGCTTCCAACACCCTCTGGATGCCACGCTCTTGGCTTTCTCAAGTAGCTTCCAACCAACACGCTCTTGATGCATCTTAGTGCTACGCTCTTGACTTTCTCATGCAACTTCCGACACACTCTTGCTCATGTCACATCCAACACGCTCTTAACTATCTCATGTCACATCCAACACGCTCCTGATGCATCTTGGTGCTACTTTCTTGATAAACCCTTCATCGCATGGAAAGCGCGGCACCAGGCATGCACGACTATGCACTATGCATGCATGTCTGAACATGAAGCAAATCAAGTGCACAAGCGAGTGCTCGTCCATTGTGGCAGTAGTCTGACATTTTATTTGGCATTGTATCTGACATGTTATCTGCTAATCTGCTAAAGAGTTCGGGTGCGGCAGGGCCAGAGAGCTGGCGAGCTCGCTATCGAGTGGCTGTGTAGAGGAGGCTGGCATGGCAAAGAAGCTGGCAATAATCTGTGGTGTGTGCGTGGGTGGTAGCTGGGTTTTTTGGTTCGTTGGTGTTCTTCCGGGATGTCTTGTTAAAATCTAGAGACCCTCACCGAGCGGGTGCAATGGCTGTACACATGCACATGCACTTACTTCAAGAAGTACAAAGACCATCCAAGCTACCTGTGGCCGTTGTTGCTCTTGTCGGAGCCTCCATAAGGCTGGCTGCGAACAAAGATTTGGCACAAAGCACCCTTGAACTTAGGGGCTGCGGGCTGATCCAACAAGCCCTTGTAGTCCTTGGCAATGACGGTGAGACCGCTGCAGTCGACAGGCCCGGGGCAAGCCATGACAAAACTAAGAAGTGAGGGTTGATGAAGTCAGGCTTCTTGAGCAAGATTCTTTACCACAGGCGAGAAGTGACAATGCAGAACACATCCTGCTGATCTCCAAGTCTTTGTGTCTGCAGCTGAACTGACAAAAAGTCGACCGCTTCTCGTTTTAAGTGAAGATGTCAAATGCTCGCTGTTGATGCAGGCTTACACTCCGATACAACGGCACTTGGCCAAACATGTTTGTAGAAGGGCGACTGCAACAGACATAGGCCCTATGGCATTGTGGCAAAGACCCACCTTTCAACTGCAGAACTTGCACTGATCCTGCTTAGCAGGGGCCTGCTGTAGACCTGTGAAACTGTCCTTGGGCAAGTTACTTGGGTCCTACCTTTTGCTAATCCACATTGACCGTCCGGGTTTCTCAGGCGTCACAACCTCAGATGGCTCTGAAAAGCCAAGGTCATCTCCAAAAATCACACCCATTCGCTACAAATACACTGCCAAAGCAAGGTTTCTGCGTGGTGTTTTTCAGTACAAGTCATGTCCGGATGTTATCTGTCAAACAAATGCAGGAGACGATAAGATGTGATGCCAGTCAATGCTTCGTCTATCCTTCTTAAGTCTAGTTTGTGTGGCAAAGGTCGGATGGTCAATCATCATCCACTTTTCATCTACGTATAATGCTTCACAGCCTCTGGAGGGTAGAAATGCGACCGCAAGACGACACGTCTCATGTTATGCCAAGTGGGATTCTACGGGGAAAAGCTGTTCACAATGGCAACCTCTGGCCATTGCTTGGAGCATGCCAATGTCTGCCACTATACTATGCCAGTCATATCTCTTTGCTTCTGTCTCTGTATAGGTTCATACATATGCTAGTGAATAGATCAAACATATGTCAATAAAAATATACAGATATGTATACTGTATATCATATTGACACAATATGTTTATGATTGTTTATGTACAAGTTAAATACATAAATCCACGTATCCGTCAGTAGAACTCGATACATGTTGAACTTTTTGGGTATCACTTTTTCCACCGGCTAAGATGATCTCTGGAAGCCAAGAGGCTCATCAAAGAAGCCTCCGTGGGGATTTCTCTTGAACCATCTTCGCATGAGTCCTCAGAGCGCACGTTCCTATCAGCAAGAACCAAAAATTAATGGCCATACCTCACTTCTGTTGGAAGGGGTTGGAAGCTTCAGTTGTCAATTTGAATAACGGATAAGACGGATAGGGGCCACTTGCAAAATCTTGCCACTGAGACGTACAAGTAAGTGACTGCATGGTAAATGACCGATCGATTATCTTTGGAACTGCGGTCTCTTCCACTCACCAAGCAAGCGAATTTGAGACTTGGAGTCTCTTCATTTGGTTGTTTTGGGCCCTAGATTCTGTAGTCAAGAAAAAGGAGAACCACAGCCGGAAGGAAAATCGCAAAACAAAAATGACGAACAATGATTAAAACATGTTAAAACATGATAAAACATACATAGATCAACAGATCCCTCATCCCCCAGTCTCCTGGCTTGGCTATGCCGTTCTCCCATCTTGGACCTCGACCTTCCCGGCGCCAGATCAACGGGTGAAATCTCAGTTATCTCCAGTGGAATTCAAGCAATTTCAATTTCCAGGGGAATGAGAGACATTTTCATAGATTCCCCAAAAATCATACTGATTTCATACTGATTTCATATTGATTTCAGTACTGATTTCATACTGATTTCATACTGATTTCAGTACTGATTTAATACTGATTTCATACTGAGTCTCGATAAATCAGAGAATCTAAGTCTAAGTGCCATAGTTGATTTCTTGAAATCGGACGTAGAGTCTACGCATTGAAGCATCATAAAGCATCCAATCTTGACATCTGCCACTCTTCGACACTTCGGCATTGCCTCGATCCTCTTCTTCTTTCACAAACTTGTTCATGGCCTCCAGCATCAGCCGGCATCAGCCGGCATCGGAGCATCGGAGCATCGGAGCCATTCGTCTTTGGATCATTTTTGGAGACCATGCTACCACTATAGATACGTAATAGAATACGAAAAAGAGATAATTGGGTAATATGGGGTACCCTTTGCATAGATATGCTTGGTCAATTTATTGCACAGCACCAGGTACGACTATGTCGATAACTGTAGATACTAACCACATGGCCTGACCACCCCCATGGCTAATCAGTATAGAGAAGTCACAAATTAAATGTGGAGAAGAATCCACGAATATTGATGATTAATTTCCCGACAGGATTTAAGCGCCTAGAAATCATCCAAACACAGGCGCCCATGGTTTTTGTCTCAGTCCTGGTCCGCGGGCAAATACTCGGGCTGCACGCCACCTTCATAGTACCACCTGGCAACGTGATCTCTTCACTCAGTCGACTTCCAGTGGTTCAGAAGGAAATACCCTAAACCTTGGGATCAATAAGTACAGGTACCACCAGGGTCGGGTGCTTGGTGGTGTTGTCCTCGCCTGCCGGAGGCAAGTCGAACATCAAAAACATGTGTCATAACGATTTATGTTGGCATCGTGGAACTAATCTTGCTGATAGAAAAGTTATCCAGGTACCCTTTGTCGCGAATGCACTCAAAGAACCGGAAGGATAGAGGCCAGCCTATCGTTGTATCAGCAAATCATGTCCAAATGATGGGCCAGTTCGACACGTGCTGGTTTCCTAAAATGGGGAACCCAAGTTTTCATCCAAGTTCACCCTGCAATCAAACATGGCTAGCTGGAAAATCCACCATTTCTAGTTGATTTTCTCAGCGACCTAAACCTCCATGGCTAGTTCGGGGACTTCCCCATTCCTGATATGTCCCAATTATGATCCCAATATATGTATATTATATATACCCCCATTAAGATGTCATAAATATTCATGTTCTCATTTTCCAATTATATCCCCATTAAGCGTCCATTATAGTCTCCCCATCATGGTATATCATGCTTATATTCCCATCATATTCTCATCATATTCCCATAGAAGATCTCCTCACCACAAGCGAAACGGCCAGGAGGACGTGCCACGGCGGAGAACCCACTTGGGCTCCACCTAGCTTTCGCGGGCTTTCAATGGATGGATGTTTTTTGAGAAAATCGATAGGAAATACCATGGTTTTATCATGAAATATAGTATATAGGCATTTATATATATATACTATATATATACTATATCTATACTATATATATATATATTATATATATACTATATCTATACTATATATATATAGGACTTTGCCATATGGCTCAGGTAAATTCTCCCATCATCCAATCCGATTGGATGGTTTGCTATAAAAAAAAAACAGCAGCTCCACCTCCTCTTTCTGCGCCTGAGCAGCGGTATATGCCTGGCATGTTTCGCATGTTCGATGGTGGAACAACTCCACACATTTCGCATGTTTCGATTCAGAAAAGACGAAACCACCAACAGCCCCATGTTTTCGAGAGATGTGGTGGTTTCTTAACTTGGGGATACCCCCAAATCATCCATTTTATAGGATGTTCAACTTGCAACCATCCATTTTGGGGTCCCCCATTTTACGAAACCCCCATGTTCTTGGAGATGTGTCCAGGTCAATGCCACCTTCATGAAACTTCCACTCCGAACCTTCTCGCGTCTCAAGCGTTCCCGTGCCCAGTGCTTGTCGCGGATCATGCCTGACACACGGGGCGATTTCATAAATTTGCTGTGCAAGTTGACCAAACAAAACAGGGATTGAATGTAGCCTCCAAAAATTGAGTTTAATGATGTTTAATGGGATTTAACGGGATTTAATGGGCTTTAATGGATAGTGGGATACATCTGGCTGAGGCATATTAATTCACTTACATGCAAATAGCTGAAATGTTGGGCCATTTGGGGATTGAGGTCATTACAATTCATCCAGGTGGGATAGAAATGATAGAGAACGCGCCAGTCCGAAGATGGGGTACATACCGGAAACCGACAATTTCATCGAGGAAAAACATTTTATCAGCCTTCAGAGTGTTCCTGAAACATTTTCAGGTACCAAACCCAAATAAACTAAACAAAACCAATCACAGTGGTATGGTTAGTCCCTATTGTTTCCCATCAACATGAAAATGTGCATGTTCTGGAATTTACCCCCATATTTCGGGTACCAAATCTACAAATTCTTGACCGCACCCTCAGCAGCCAGCCTAAATTTTGATCAGCCTGTTCTGCCAGCAGCTCATCCGAGGCCTGCCAAGGCATCGATTTCTGAGTTGCAAGTGCCCTTTTGGGGGAACCCGATAGGAAAGTGCCCTATAGATATATACTTATATCTATAATATATATATATATATATAGTTACCAACTGGAACTTAGAATGCCTCGCAGTTTTCCAAAATTTTTTACCCAGAAGATAGAACCTTACTCATTTCAGGGGGGTTTGGGGGTAACTTAGAATGACTCGCAGGGATTTTTTTAATATTTAGAAAGTGGTTCTAAGTTTCATTCCGTCAACACCAAAACTAGTCAATTTTCCCCATTTTTTGATTTGCACGAGTTTGAGAAAAACATGTCAACACCAAAAGTTTGAGAAAAAAACGTGTCAACACCAAAACTAATCAATTTTCCCCATTTTTTGGACTCACAGGAGTTTGAGAAAAACATGTCAACACCAAAACTAGTATATAATTTTCCCATTTTTTGGATTCCAGGAGTTTGAGAAAAAACATGTCATCACCAAAACTAGTCAATTTTCCCATTTATTGGATTCCAGGAGTTGAGAAATATATCTATATATATATCCTGGAGAACCCACCTCCGAGAATTTCTAAGTGAATCACGTTTTCTAGGAGATTCAGTCGATTTCAACGTTTCCCTCCATTTCCCAACGGCCACAACATACCCAACTGATCCCAACTGTGGCTCACACTATCATGAAGTTCCTGGTGGAGCTCCTTTTCATCATCTCGCTGAAGCTGAATGCTTTTTGGCTGCATTGCGGGTGAATTGCAACCTGTACATCCCTAAAGTTTTCCGCATAGCCCCTATGGATTGACTAGCACCATGGCAAGAGCGAGCAACTTTAGACACTCTTCCTATATAATCCTCGTCAGTCCAGCAGCATGTCGCTACTGGGGAAAGTACATATGGTCCATGAGGATGCAGCTGCAGGGCAATTTCGTAAAGCATATGCAACTTTGGTCTCAACTTAAAAAGTTTTTGACCAGTGCCATGTGCCATTGAGGCTAATTGGCTGTAGCCCTCCTTACGTGTCAAATTTGTTTCCCTTTAAGGAGCCATGAAGTAGCAAATCCCAAATCATTAAATTTCAAAAGTTTAAAACAAAACTAAACCAGCACAGGAACACAAACACGCATTGCATATTCTTGAGCTTGTAGAGCATCATTCGCAGGAAGAAAAATTCCATTGGAGTACAGGATGTCGAAGAACATGTTCACACATTGGATGGTGTATCTCATTGTTTCCATCTCTGGTGTCTCACACTCCTACGCCGGTATTTGGCTAGGTCACTGAACAAATGATGTATATCCATAATTTGGGGAACATTGAGAAACTATTAGTTGTCATACCCAGTAGCCATATCCATCAATAACTTCTCCAACCACCTGCAAACCACGGCCGTGTCATGGCCCTTGCCACCCAAGCTGGTCGGGAAGTCAGAGCTCCTAAGCAAACAAAGTGGAAGGCTGTTAGGAAGGTGAAAAGCATATGAGCCACATGGGCTATACAAACAAAAAACATGGGGAAAAACAGAAAAATACATATTTGTCACCAAAGATTCGATGTCATTCCCATTTTTTTTAGACACCATTCATCACACGAGTTGTATCGTTTTTGTTCATGGCAATACTCCTGAAACATGCTGTATGCCACACGTAGTCGTTCATCAAAAGCAAGGCGTCCAAACTTATCGAGTCGAACTAGCCAAACAATGATCGATGCGGCGAGGTCAGCCCCAAAACCAATGTGAAAGCTGTGAACCAGATCTGGTTTGATTCTTTCAGGAGTGCATCCAGGAACGATTGAAAAGACATTGCCATCAGATTTGAAAGGTGATGGTCCCGGTCTCCCACCAGGACCCCTCCAAGCAGCATCGCTGTCAAATCGGTACCATTCCTCTGGGGATTCTGTAGGTATGAGGAGGGCATAAATAAATATGATTTCCCCAATCATATGCAGTTATAGTATATATATATATACAATTGTTTATGTTATATAAGTGGTTCGCTATGGGGTATGGATCAAACAAACTTTGAAAACATTTGGGATTTGGTATTGGCCCTGGTCCTCACCAGTGCAAAGGTGGCACACCCTCTTTGAGGTAAAGCCGGTTTCCAAATTGAAAGCCTCAATTTGCCATAAATGAAAACAGAAGCAAACCCAGGTATGTACTTAATAGATATTATGTCCAAAAACCTTTCCACTTGCACAACCGAACCAAGTGACCTTTCTCAGGTAAGGCCAGTCGCCTTTGCCGGCGATCCAGACCAACCTGATCGTCTTGCCACCCACCTCAGGGGCGTGTGAGAAAGGTGCGCAACCAGTGTTTTGGACTTATGGGAACCATGGGCGCATATCATATATTTTGGAACCCCAGCCTGAACACCTTCGTGAAAAAGTGAATGCAATTGTTTGGCCCATTCAGTGTTAATGTCACGCAATGTCTTCTCACCATCGTACAGTTTGGAGGAGATGCAAGTGAACAGCATTCGGGATGTAAAGCTGTGCCTTCGTTTTAGTGATCGACCATTATGAAAAATGACTTAAACTCCCCTTAAGAATGTGAAAGGATACCGTAGCATCATGTTTCTTGAAGAGTGGTAGGAACCTTACTTGAAGCTAAAACCAGGCAATCAAAGTAAAACCATAAATCTCGTCGTCCAGACACCCGGAAGTGTTCGTAGTGAAGGGCCCAAGGTGTGAAATTACAAATTGAAATGATTGCACCATGAATGCCTGGGAACACAATCCTCTTCCTTCGTCACCATGGGTCATGATTGGAATGCATAGTGAAAGATCGAGGTCTGGCATCTCATATATGGGATGGCCCCCGTCAAACCCTTTGTACGTTGCCCAAAACCAAGAAAACAATCTTCTCCAGTTGTGTTCTTCTTCCACATCGAAGCCACCAAACATAATTGGAGAAAAAGATGTAGCCAACGTTGACACCCAAGACCGTAGGGAAAAGCATGGCCAGTAAACCGATTTGATTCCAAGTTTTGGTTTCTTCACCTTAATGGTGGTTTTCACCAGTTCCACATCCAAGTCAAGTGTGACACCAGCTTTATGAATGCATCTGCGAAGGTTCCTGTCAACGTTGGACTTGCCCTTCCTCGTAGACGCAATACGACAAAGAAGATGGCCAGCTCCTGGGCAAAAACATGCATAGGATCAGCATTGGGATGTTGGCTAGCTGGGGGACTGAGCGAAAGAATGACTTGTTGGGGTACTACCATGTCTCAACTGGTCAAAGTAAGTAAGTGCTGCCAAATATCGTTGAGATCCCCTGGACAACATTGCAATCTCAGCAATCCGTGATGTTCTTTTTGCTGTTTCGGCCTTGGATCATGAGTACAGGTCCAAATCCAAATCATTCCAAATGATGTGAACAATCGGAACATATGATGTTTCGGTGACTAGTATCCACATGCATGTCTCAATTGTTTGCAAGGCACCCCAGCGAAGTAGTCCTCCAGAAGTTCCATTGCATGTGCATCATCTTCTCGCAGTTGATCTTGTTCGGTTGGGTCTCTTAGTAGGGCCAATCCATGATTTTTAGAAATTAAGATATAAATTAGTTGCAAGTAGGGATGCGCATGAACAATATGCAGTATCAATACATGTCACTATAAGCCCGGCTGGTCCTTGCATAGCAGCAGTGACATAGGCTCTTATGTGTTGACCTGGCCCAGGGAAAGTCGTACCCACCCCCAAACTGCAACCTCATTATGATATCCTTTGATCAAAGGATATCATAATGATATCATATTATAAGGTCGATGGCATTTGATGGCAGAAGGGGTGACGTAAAGAATCCCTTCCTTTTCCCCGAGATTTGTCAAGCGGCGCTGAACTCCCAAAAGCACTCAGTTGGTGCAGGACATGGCGTTTAAGAACACCCATCCAAACCCTCGAAGGCTACTTGTTGATCAATCCCATACCGAAACAAATTCTGACATCACACAATCATATATGAGGATTCAATTTGGGGTAACTATAGGTCTGCAATAAGATATGATCACTTCTTAGCCGTGGCCTTGGCCTTCTTGGCCTTCTTACTGGGTCGAGAAGTTGAAACACTGGGCTCTTCCCCATCCGGTGCCACCGGTTCCACCGGTGCTGGGCGCTTGCTGGATACCTTCCTCTTAGGTGCAGGCGTCAACGGCTTCGATGCACTGCTCTTCGCTTTGGCCTTTGGCTTGCTGCTCTTCAAGGCCCTGCGGTCACTGGTTATTGAATGATAGGCATTAAACCGTTTTTTTGTGTGATACATGATTGGATGGAATACGTAATTTCTTGATTGGGCCTGGCACGGCTCATCATGTTGTTAACTCGCACATCCATCTTGGTGCACTCGACATAGATGTCACGTAGCTCAGATTTCTGGGCTTCCTGCAGGAGTAGCGGGTAGTTGAACCCTATGTGGATGTTGAGGCAACAAGGTGGCATATATAATATTAACTCCCAAAAAACTTCAAGGTTGACTGACGACCCCATGGATACAAGTTTCAGCCAGGGAGCCGTTGGTGCCAAAATACCACAGCTCGCTTCCTGAAACTTCACCAGCTTGTCGAAAACATCGAAGTAGTTCGTGCGGTCATTGGCAAGTTGCTTCAACATCCTCGGCAAATTGGTTGAGGTGCTATGGGGTAAGTAAACCTATGGCCATGGCAACAGATCCGATATAGGCCCATGTAAGCCCCAATGCCGAGACACTCTTGACTTCGTGGAGTTTGTAGGCTCTGGAGCCTCTCCTGCGACAATGTTCAGGTTCAGAAACTATATATATCTCTGGAATACAGCATCTAATATAATGTTACATCTTATATATTGTGATATCATGTCCTTCTGTTCATCGATTTTGTCCATCTTCTTGCCCATCTCATCGATGTACTGGGAAATGTAGCCTCATGAAAGATTTTTAAGATATCATATATATCGTCGAGACAATCCATGACAGATTAGGGCTCATATTTGTCATTTAGAGGCAAGAAACAGTAGGGGTCTTG